AGGATGCATTTGTACACAGGTGATCCACTAAGAGCAGCCATCTTCCAGAACATGCAGTCTGCGGGGCTGAGGACTGGAGGGTGAGGATGCATTTGCACACAGGGTTATGTACGTGCTTGGATTCTGCCTGGTTCGACAAGGGAGAGCAGTTGTTTGCTGGGCATCCTGAAGAACAGCAAACCAAAACAACAACAAATCAGCAGGGAAAATATTTACGAAAAGGAGTTTACCCTCAAGACAAGGCAGACAACACTACAATGCTTCCTCTTCCCGCCAGTGCACAGTCACCTACACAAAGGATCAGCGGAGGCTGACAGCTGGAGTGTTCTGTGGAAACCATCAGAAAACAAAAGGGGAATGATGGAGGTGAAGCCATCAGCTGCCCAAGGCACTGAGCTTTGTCAGATGGGCTGAAATCAAAGTGGGGTGAGAAACTGAAGAGAACAAGGAAGCCACAAAACACATCACCTTAACAACTCTTTTGCTCTCATTCCGTCTCTAGGAAGGTGGCTTAAGAAAATGGACAGTACTACAAAAAAAAAAAAAAAGATAGATTTGTGTTCAAGGATACTCGGCATTGTGGTCTTTAAAATTTAAAGCCATCTTAAATGTACAGCAATAAAGAGTTCTTAAATAACCAATAATGTTCATATGATAGACTACTATATGTTATGTTTTTGAATGTCTTGTAATGGGAGACTCTCATAAAAAATGTTCAGTTAAAAGGGTATAAATGATATACCAATTGACACAAATTTTCTAAAACTAAGTAGGAAGTGATATATTAGATTGAAATTCATCAAAATATTTATTAACTGTGTTTATCTCTGGTGAGATAATGGCTTGAATTTTCTTTGTTCTGCTTTTCCATGTTTTCCAAATTATATTCAATAAAGATATATTGCTCATATAATCTGTTCCCTTAAAAATAAGTAAATAATGCAGGGCAGATTCACAAGCATTAAAAGAATTTGAAGTAGGAGAAAACACAAGTGGCTAGGAGACAGATGTTAAACTTGAACACTGTTGCTCATGGTTTTGTTGACATTGCCATTGGCAGAAACATCCCCCAGACAGAAGTTAAGTGTCTTCTCATTGTTGATGGCTTCAGTGTGCCAGATAAAGACAACAGAGAAGGAAAAACATGTTACTCTAATGCTGTCACAGGTACAGCTAAGATGTGATGGATGGATCTCTCTGAAGATATTATTACATTTAGCAACTTCCTTTGTCACTTTTATATCCTTTGGAAAATTCATGTGTTTGTTGGAGGGAGTGTGCATATGTGTGTTTGTGTGTGCACTGGTGCCTGTGTGGGGGGAGGCCAAGGGTCAACCTCGGCTATCATTTCTCAGGCACTGTTCACCTTGTGGGTGGGTTGGAGGGGGCATCTGTTGTTGTTCTCTCTCTAGAATCAGAGGCTTACCAATTAGTCCAGGCTAGACAGCCAGTGAGCTCCAGAAATCTGCCTGTTTCTGCCTCTCCAGCACTGGGACATTGGGATTATAAGTAGACACTACCAACTTGCTTTTTTTTTTTTTTAATGTATGTATTGGATGCCAAACTCCATTCCTCGTGTTTAAACAGCAAGCATTTACAGGCTGAGGTATGGCCCAGCCCCTCCTAGAAAGTTCTTGGTGTAATGCATCTAGATCCTAAGCTACCACAAACTCAAATAGTTGTATTTTCCCATGATATACCATGATTATTATTTTTCATAATAATGTATGCCACTGAATATTTGGACATTATTAACCAAGTGTTTTCATGTGCTATTCAGGGTTGCTTGTTCAGCTTTTTAAAAAATCTTCTAATTCTATTTTTCAAGTAGTTTTGTAATGTAAGGGCCTCAGTCACCTAAAATATTCAATTAACCAGAGGTTCCCTCTGTCACTCTCCAGCAATGCTAAATGAAGAAGACTTTACACAAATCTGTCATTTCTTAATTAATTTAGTAGCTGGTTGCTACATGTAAGCATAAAACTAATTGTTCTTATCCTTATTTGAAAAAATCTTACTCTTGGGCTGAATGCATCCATTTAAATAGAGAAAGAAAATACTCATCTGTGCTTATTGGTCTCCTTCAAATTCATGAAACTGAGAGAGCCTATTTGGAGCATGCTCTTCATACTGGCCAACAGTCTGAGTACATTTCCCTAGGCCACTTACTATTCTATTCTCCCAGATAACAATTCTGTATTTCCTCCTTTATCGTAAATCTCCCAACACTTCTGCCCCCATCTTCACTCTAAGCATTTGACCTTGATTGCTATTTCCCTGAGGAAAAAAAATCAGAAGAGAACTTCCACAAACTCCCACCTCTGTCTCAACCTCCTCCTGCCCACCAACATCTGGGCTCATATAGGATGCCTTCTATCCTGTTACCAGGAATGAACTTTCTGTGTTCCTGTCTTGTCTAAATTCTACAAGTGTTCACTAAACCCCAGGTCCTTTTAAACATTCAAGAGCATTGCTCTGTTCACTCTCTTCAGTCATTTTTCCCTTTGATCACTCCATCAGCACACATACACACACACACACACACACACACACACACACACACACACACACGAGCTGATATTTCACACTTGTTGCCCTCCAGCTTCAAGTTCTATTTATTTATTTATTTACTTACTTTCTTATGTTACTATCTTGAGACCAGGTCTTAGTTTGTAGCCTAGACTGGCTGGAATTCTCCATGTAGCCCAGGTTGGCTTAAACCTCTGATCTTCTTGTCTTCAGCCTCTCGAGTGCACAGATTACAGATTACTGGCTACCCTTTTCCTTACAGCAGCTCCTCCAAAGAGTTATGCACGTTCATGTCTCCAAAATCTGTTCTCTCTAAAGCCCCCTGTGTCAAGGATTGCCTCTCCTTGTGTCAAAACTGTTCTACACCAATGGTGTTCACATTGCTAAAGCCAGAGGCCAACTCTTCAGTTATGTTTAATGCCATTTTCCCTTGTTTTTTTAGAAACCCACACAGTCCAGTTTGTGCTGTCCATGTATTCTTGGTTTTGTGGCTATCCACTGGAGCATGGGAAGTCTACTAGGGGCCACCACACCCCTGAAGAAAACCGACTCTCCCTCTCCAGTGCAATCAATTACCACTAGCTCCTCAGCCAGGAAGGGGATTCCATGTCCACCCTCCTTACACGGGTCTTGTGCAGGATGTCATAACCACTGTGAGTTTGTATGGGCAACTGCTCTGCTCTGTACAAAAACCATTGTTTTATTGTAGTCATAAACTGCCTCTGGCTCTTACAATCTTTCTACACCCTCTTCGGCAATGGTCCCTGAGCCCTTAGAGTGGGAGTGTGATATAGATATCCCATTTTGGACTGTGCACTCCATAGTCTCTGATTCTCTGCACCTTGAAATTAGAGGGTCCCTCTTTATCATCATTTATTGTAAAGAGAATCTTCTCTGATGAGGATTAAGAGATGCATTAACCTATTGGCGTACTGATAAGTCATTTGGAAGTTGGTTTAATTTAGCAGAATAACAATAGTAGATTCTCTTCTAGGGCCTATGACCTGTCTAGCTACAGTTTCTTGGTGCAGAAACAGCGGGTGTGGGTTCCATCTTGTGGAGTGGGCTTTAAATCAAATCCTAAGGTAGTTAGCTACCTTTATAACATTTGCGCCTCTATTACAACAGTGCCCATATCTTGCCAGGGTGATTGTTATTGTAGCTCACAGGGTTTATATTTGATTAAGACTCCACTAGCCCCATTAATAAAAAAGGGGTAGATAGTTCTGGGGGAGCCTTAATTTGAAGAGATGTTGTTTAAAAATAACCCATCTCTTCTCTAGAGGGAACTTTTAGCACAGAGCACAAAGGCTCCTGGCTCTACATGGGACAGGCCTTCCGAAAGTGATGTCAAGGATTATCTAAAGCAATAGTTTGTGAGCACATGGCATTGCTGAGGGCATCAGAGTCAACTGGCCAGTTTACTCCTGTTTCTGCCATCATACTACAAATGCCAAGCATCCTAGACCTGAGACATGGACATTTGTTCCTTCAATAAAATATCCAAGTGATCCTAATGAGTGTACCATATACGAGCATCACTGCCTGCCTTGCACGGCTGGGGGAATCCCTTCACTCTACATCACTGTTGACAGAATGTTCTCCAGGGAGTCACAGGATTCTGCCACTCCCCAACTCCAATAAATACTCTCCAGGTTTCCATTCCTTCACTAAGGATTTTCTAAGATCCTAAGACATGCCCTGTGATGGGTGTCTACTTTACAGCAATGAGAAAAGCAGATGGGGTATGGTCTGTTCTGTCACTGAACTCGAAACCTAGAGGTATGAGGAGACAAAGGAAGTGTATTGAGCACATAGACACCCGGATTTCTGTGTATTGTGGGAGCTGTGAAGAAAATAGTAGAGCATGTAAGAAAGTGTAACTAATGTTTCAAATATTGGAGTCCTAGAGCTGTCAGAGCAATGACATTCCATTTGGGATTTAAATGACGTATGCCAACTGGGAGTACAGGCAATCAGGAGGAACAGTGACCGTGCATAACCTGCTGCGACAAGGAGGCTCATTTCTTGTACATGGTCATTCTTAAGCTCCGGCTTCCAGTCTCACTGCAGAGTGTGCCTTCAGTCACTGGGAAAGAAGCAGTTGAATCAGAAGGGAGGCCATGGATTGGGATAGACCTCTAAAAAACTCCAGACCTGGATATTGAGTTACCTACTTTTAGTCTG